TTATATTTTGTGTAATGTGATAAACGATGTGACTATCAAGTGCATTAGTACACCTTATTCTATAGATGAACCAAAATATGTAATAAAGAAAATATAGAGCCATATTTGGAAGCCAATTTTAATTTTGATATAAATATTGAAAAGGTAATATTATAGTAATATGTAATTAAAGCTTGAAAAGGCTTAACAGTTAATATCTTTAATATTTATTGTTTTAAATTTTATAACCTGTTTTAGGATCTGATCTTATAGAACCATTAGCAGAAATTTTATCTACAAATTATTCATACATAATAAATGAGTTTCATGAAATCGATCTATTAATTACTGATGAGAATATTGTGATAAATCAAATAATTAGTTTATTCTATGTAAATATTAATTTGGCTGAACGTGCATATGTGTGGCTTGAAGAGTTTCATGAAAAAACAAAAATGTCAATGCGCCAAACTAAAGGTCATATTCTTAAAGGTTAATGAGTAATTTTTCGTGAGACAAGACATTGTATCTATAGCAATTCAGTTAAAGATAAACAAGGAAAAGGTGTTCAAGTTAAAAAACTACATAGTGAACATTTAAGAAATATTGGCTGTTTAGCAACAATTGGATTTCATATTGAAAAATGTTATTTAGAAAAGTCACATGCTCTTGAAGTATCTTTTCGCTTTACTCATAATCATGTTCCTAAATCTGCTATTTCATTAAGTTTTCATCCTGTAAATATCTAAACAGAGGAAAAATATTTAAAACTATTTCAATGTGGATATACACCATCAACTGCTCGTTATGAATATAAAAAACAGTTGCATTTATTAGCTGATAATGAGGAACATTTAGCAACTATTTTAGCTGACCATGCCTTAAATCCTGATAGTAGATATATTATAAATCTTTATAAAAAGTTTCACTTAAATTAACTTGGTGCATGAAATGAAAATAGTATGTTTGAACATCTTGAAAATAAAATCAAAAATTACAATGAATTAGGGTATAGTAAAGCTGTTTTCTATTCATTTGATAAAAGAAAAGGTCAAGCATTTATTTTATGTATAGTTAGCAGTTTGATGCAAAGAATTCATGAAACTATTAGGCAAGCAGGAGAAATATGTTATATAGACGCATCATCATCTTTTGATTTATTAAATACTTCAATAATTCTGTTATATACAAGTTGTGCTGTAGGAGCATTGCCCTTAGGAATTATTTTAACATCTAATGAATCAGAAGATACACTTGAATTCGCATTTAATTTTTTAAAAACAATATTACCTAAGAAGGCATTCTATAATAGAGAACCAGAAGTTGAACCAAGTATCATAATTACTGATGACTCTTATGCTGAACGAAATGCACTTCAACATTGTTGGAATCAAGCGAAAATTTTTCTTTGTGTTTTTCATATACTTCAATCATTTTGGAGGTGGTTGTGGAATATTGGCCATCATATTTACAAAGATGATCGGTTGTTAATAATGCGATATATGAAATCTATGATATATGCATCAACAGAAACTGAATTAGTAAATTCATTTAAAAATCTACAACAGCAATACTTTGAAAAATATCCAAATTTTGCTACATATATTATTCATTATTGGAATAGAAGACATGAATGTGCACTTTTTTTTCGCATCAGTTTACTAACACATGGGAATAATACTAACAATTATGTGAAGAAAAGTTTTGGATTATTGAAAGATATTGTTTTTAGACGTATGCAAGCCTATAACATAGTACAAATTTTTCATTTTATTACTACTAATTTAGAACATTTTTATGAGCATCATCTTCTAGCTATTTCAAATCAACATCCTGAAAGAATGCATATTATGAAAAAATTTTTATGCTCTAAGTACAAAGAACTTAATATTGAAGGTATTCAATGCAGAGAAGATGGCATTACATTTGATGTACCTAGTACTACAGTAGCTGAAACAATCTATATAGTTGATCCAACTATTGGAACTTGTTCTTGTTTTGTCGGTATCTCAGGATCTTCCTGTAAACATCAAGCAGCAATCGCTTTAAAGTTTCAGAAAGATACATCAAATTTTATTGATATATTTACAATTGATGATCGAATGAATTATTTCTATATTGCAACTAGTAAATATTATTTTTTATATATATTACTAATATTATTTAAGTATTAATAACTAATCTATGTTTTAGGTTTATTAATTCAAGAAAGGTCATTTTATGCCTCTTTACATTCACGAACCAATGCAACATCTAAAGACAATACGATTGATAAATTAAAAGTTCAAGAATCTGCAATTTCAGAATGCACATCAAGTATTGAAGTTATTAGTGAAGAAATCAAGTATGTATATTAATATATATATATTTAGTATATTTCGATACATAGTCATTTTCTAATAGGCTACATATCTAACCTATATCATGCAGTATAACAATTTAGTTGCAGTTATGTTTTGTTACTGAATTTTTATGCTGTGTGATATCGGTTAAATAGCCTTTTAGAAGTTTACATAATTATATTTTAGAACCTTAATGAAGAATTTTTTTTTCATTCTTTATCTATATTTTGTTTATACATAGTATTATAGAAGAAACAAATAGCAATGAAAAGCTAAATCATATTGAATCGATGACTAGTTTCTTTCATAAGATAGAAAATGATATTAAACAAAATGTACAACTTCTTTTAGCTTTTGAAAAATTTCAGAAAGGGTATTTTGCTACAAAAAAATCTTTCTTAAAATAAGTTGGTTTCATTTGTCTACCAATATGCAAATAGTTCTATAACAGTTCGAAGTAGTATGAAGATACCTGTTTAAGTAGCATCAGTACAAAGAAGAAAAAGAGGTGCATCACATAGTACAAAAAGAAAAGCTTCAGGAAGAAAACCATTAGAAAGTAAAGAAAATGAGAATCTACATGAAATGCAATCAAGAAAAAAAAGAAAAACAATATGAAAGCCACATAATTTAGCAAAAAATATTGATGATAAAGCTAATTAGTTGCAATTAGCTCTTTACTTTTTCATAAATTTTTTTTTTGCAAATTTAAGATGTATTATTGTTGTTACTAAGACAACTATAAGAATTCAAATAAATAATATATAGCTCTTTTTTGCTTTATAATAATATAAACTGAGAATTAGGTGATAGCTCTAAGAAATAACTCTGAAAATTTTCAAGCATAAGAATAGTACTCTAATAATAATAAATCTTTAAAAAATGTATAATTTCGATATATTAAATCTACAAAAAAAGTGTTAAAATAATGATCTAGCTAATTGTTAAGTTGTTATATAAAATATGGACAAAGTATGTATGTATACATAGTCTATTTAAATTATGCAGATGTGAATATTATGTATAATACTAATACATATTGGCATGTTATATATGTCTTTAAAAATTTATTAGTAATTTAGCTTTCATATTGATTATGTAAATACGTTAAGTACCAAATATTATAAAAGTTGATTAGTATTATTTTGTAATTTTGATTAGATTATACATATAAACTCTAATGATATTTAAATGATGTGTATAATGATATTTCAAGTATTTAATATTAAATGATTTTATAAAAGATTAGTTAAGTATAAAATTATTAAATATTATCATTATATGTATTAAAATATATTTGTATATAAACATTTTATATATTTTAAATATCGTATATGACAAGCCAAACCACCTCCTGTTATAATTTAAGTATTGGCCATATGGATATTTAAATGGTATATATGATAGTTTATTTATGTATAACAATACTGAATAACTGTTAGAAAGAAAACAAATATTCGCATAATCCGATATGAGTAGTTTGGCCTGTTATATACAGTACATAACATGTTAGTTTATTTTCTACATGATTTGCAAGTTACATGATCTGCAATATGCATAACTGAGCACAGAATTTTTAAATGCTTATCAATTTGTGTACTATTTATATAAACTTTTTTATTTATATATTAATTCTAATATAAGTTTTTCTACTTTTGTTAAACTAATTCAAATATAAAAAAAAATTTTTATTATAACAGTTTACTTTATAAATGTCATAAAATTATAGCAAAAACATGTAAATAATCAAATTTTAAACATT